CCCCAAGAAGACTCCTGGTATTCATTTCTGTCTACCCCAGGGCCATAGTGCAACCGGAAAGGTAGGTAAATAGGTAAATTGAAAAAAAAAAAAAAAAAAATGCACATCATTGGGACTCAATGGTTTATATCACTTAAACCTAATGTTCCATGTCTAATGCATCTGGTGCTCGCCATATGGGCTGAAACATATACAAAAGATGTAAAGAGAAAACACTTGCCTAAAGAGAGAAGTTTGGAAGAAAATTCAAGAAAGATTCTAGGAAGGGGAGACAAATGTAACACCCCAAGTTGTTCAACAAGCAACAGAGTACTGGGACAGTAAGAGGACAAGAAACATGGTGATGATGAATCCAGAAGGGTTATGAAAAATACTGCACAAATTCATGATGTTTACTCTGCCACAGAATTCCTCTAAGATTTCATTTTTCCATTCATGTTGTTTGGTGAGTTACTGCATATATTGGGATAATGTTTCTGTCTGAATATTACAGCCTTGTACCATGCCAGGTGAGTGCTGGGCATTTGATGGTTCAGGTGCTGTTGTGATTCAACTGATTGGTAAGGTGAACGTTAAAGCAGTCTCTGTCGAGCATACTTCACGTTCCCAGTTGCTCCCAGGATTAATAAAGAGCGCACCAAAGGATTTCTCTGTATGGGTAAGTGTCTTTATATGGTTTTTCTAGTTATACAGGGTTAGCCTACAAGAAATAGACACTTTCAAAGTTTTGCAGAAAGAAGAGTTGCAATAGCATGGCCAAGATACTTACATGGTTTGAAAAATACGCCCTGAAGTTTACATGGGTAAGTTACAAATGTTCTATATGTGACCATTTTGTAACATGACAAATATCAATGTGATGGTCTAGTTCTTCACAAATGCTTCTCAGCATACCCACGTCAACAGTCGCAGCAGCTACTGTGATGCGTTAAGATCATCCACACTTGTAGGGAGGGGAGGAACATAAACTCTGTCCTTTATGTAGCCCCATAAGTAGTCACAGGGTGTTAAATCCGGACTTCTTGGTTCTGGGCGGCTGGACGTCCAATCCAACGCCAGGGCAATTTTTCGTCCAGGTAATTTCCAACTTCAAGGTGCCAGTGTGGCGGAGCACCATCTTGGACAAATATGAAATTGTCATTGACCAGCCGCTCATGTAGCATGTCTAGGTAGGTTATTCCAAGCACTGTTTCTTCCTGGAAAAAGAATGGTCCATACACCTTTTTACGGGATACAGCACAAAAACTTTCACTTTAGGTGAATCCCTCACATGCTTTACTACACCTCTTGGGTTTTCAGTTCCCCATATACGAATGTTGTGTTTTTTCACCCTACCACTAACGTGGAACATTAATTCGTCACTGAAAACTAGCTAGTTAAAGAAATCAATACTTCCTTCATTCCGTTGCTGCATGTCCATACTGAATGAATGACGGAGGATTTTGTCGTTTTCAGTGAGGTTATGCAATAATTGCAAACGGTAAGGGAACATTCGTAAACGTTTACGCAAGATATTCCACACAGTCTTTTGTGGAACTTGAAGTTCTAAACTTGCACGTGTTGTCGACTTTTTTGGGCTGCGCGTATAAGTTTCATGAACACGATTCACTGTTTCCTACGATACAGGTGGTCTCCCAGGACATTTCCCCTTGCACAGGCCACCAGTTTCATTAGATTTCTTGCTCCAATCGTAGATTGTCTGTCTTGTGGGTGGTTGCTTACCATACCGTGTTCTAAAACGATGTGGCACGACAGTAACAGGATTTGTTTCTCCAAGTTCAATCCCCCAATAAGTCTTGTACACTTTATCGGCGGCCACACTGCTCGACATACGCTAAGGGCGTACCACGTGATTCTGACGTGGCGAAGACAATCGAATAACGGAGATCGAAATTTTAATTCATAAACCCTTTAAACTGTCTACTTCTTTTAGGCTAACCATGTATATAAGACCTTTTGCATACAAATGTTGGGCACAACTAAAGCCTCTTTATACAGAATTAATGTGAGAGTCCTCCAGTTGTGCAGCTACTCAAGAATTTCCTAACATTTTATGGAACCCAAAGGTTCATTACATGTTCTCAAGAGCCCTCCAGCCGTCCCAATCCTGAGACAGATAAATCCTATCCATGCCACCTCTTCCTATCTAAGATGTAGTATATCTCCCAGCTACATCTAGATTTTCCTAGTTATGCCTATTCCTTTGGCTTTCCTACCAAAACCCTACAGGCATTTCTTCTCGCCCACATCAGATCCTCTTCATAAGAATTTGTCGATTTTTTCTTTATTACTATATTATATTTAATAATAATGACTGAACTAATAAACATAATTTATCCACAGGGATTAAATAGCCTTGATGACGAAGGACAATACCTTGGGAGTTTCTCCTATGATATCGATAGCAGCCCTCTGCAGCACTTTACAATTCCGGTAACACACTGAGCAATACAGTTAACAGAATTAATAAGACATTTTTATGTAAGTGATGACATTTTCTGTTTATAATCTGTACCATTTCTTTTCATATCAGGAACCAGCAGCAATTCCATTTCGCTTCATTGAGCTCAAGATATACAACAATCACGGTAAAGAAAGTTATACATGCCTTTATCGCTTCAGAGTACATGGAACTCTGGAGCCTCCTGAGCAAGCATAAACACTGTCCAACTGACGGGGAATAATGCTGCCTTATGAACACAAGCTAAATGTCTATGGTAATGACGTGTAATGTGTACTCCAGGAGTGAAAAATGTGATGTCTGTAGTGCAACAGAATTTTTGGGACACTGAAATACCCACATAATATAATATTACAAGGCAGCTGAAAACTGGAATAGTGCAGCCAGAGGAGACGACCGTTGATAGGTAATGGCCGATATGCACGATTCTGTGGCAGTGAATACATGATGCTACCAGAGAAATGGTGGAAATGGCATTTCCTACTTGGTGTGACCTGAGGCTGCATACCTAGACCACCCAGCCAGTTGCTTCAACCTAAACATATTCAATAACAATTCTAATAATATCTATTTACAGATCTCTTACTGTGAATCTACTGAATCTAACACACAGTGTTAAATTAACACTATATGTTGGATTCAGTATAGTTTCTAGGCCCTTTAAAAAACGTATGGCTTAACTAGTAGTGTGTACCAGTGTTTAGACATAGGCCTTGCAATGAGCTCGTCACTCACCAAAGGAGTCCTACCTTCTGCAAAAAATGATTACATAACTGAATAAGAGGCCAGGGCCCTGAATTTAAATTAAAATGATATACCCTTAAATGAACAGTGTGGGTTCAGCAGTAATTCATCAACAGCATTGGCTTCTTTCAAATTAATAAATGAAATTTTGTTAGCCATGACTAATAAATTAACTGTGGGTGGTATATAGTATACAGTGGTGTAACCATGATATCTGCATATGGCTCTACATCCCTTGTGGACCTTGGCCAGTTTTTCAGTTTCTTAATCTATACACAGTCAGTAGGATTCCTTGGACATTGGATCAGCCTGCCGCAAGGCCACTGCCTATACACAGAAAGACACAAACAGAAATATACACACATCAAATTTGTTATCAATCAATATTTTGAAGACTTTTACTATGCAATTTATAACCAAAAACTCTGTTCCTACCAAGGCCTCCATTATCTGTATAATCTATCTGTATAATAGCTTTACTGTATTTACAATAATACTTATTGTCTTTTATATCATATATTTTATTGCTTTATAATTTTGAGAGGTTCTATTTATTTACTTGAGCTCAACTTGAACCTGATCTGTACTTATGATTGTATTGTACTTTTATGTTCTTCTCCTAATCTTGATATATTTTAGTTAATATTTGACATATTCTATATCCTATGGTTTGTAACCAGTTTTATTGGATCATCTGGAACTCAGAATAAATTACAATTACAATTACAGACATTCATTCCACAAGTGGGATTCGAACTTAAAATCTGAGTGTTTGAGTGGGCGAAAACATGTTTTATCTTTAGAATGTCAATGACTATTGATGATGATGACAGAAAAAACTATTATTAGATTAATATGATTAATATTATATTATAAGATCATCATGGATGCAATTCTCTGGAATCTACTAACAGCATGTTTTATTACTCCATATAGAATATATAAATATAGGTCTTAAAAATATTACAGTTCTTATAATATATCTCTATAGCAATGTAAAATAATGCTGTACCAAATGTGTCTGATCAAAGATTTTAAAGACATTTTCTTTGGGCAAATGAATTAACATACTATTTTGGTGGGAAAGAAACATATAACCCTTAGCTGTCCCTTAGGCAAGTTCAGATATATCCGGACTTTGTGTGAGGCACAGTATTCTTTCTTGCTCAAGTTTTGAGTCTCGTCTTGTTCTGGTCAGGTATGGAAGAAAAGCAGAACACAGCAAATATCAAGTTCCACTTCAAACTGGGCAGTACTATGGAATTATTAAATATTTACTACTCCTAGAGTCACCCTGTGGCCACTGTAGATACACCATAAGATAATAAATACTTATTTATACCCAGCAATCCAAGCGTCTACCTTTGATGTATATAAAGATATAATAAACAGAAGGGCATACACACTGTTCCTACAGTCACCCTGTGGCCTCTATAAACAAGATATAATTATGGTAATAAATACAAATGGCCCCCAAAAAATGAATGCACAATTTTTACAGAGGCTATCTGCAAATATAACCATAAAGTTGAATAGAAATGTAATGCATGGTGTATAGGGTGATATTCTCATAAAAGATGGAAGTTGTCAAATGAACGCCATAACCACCATGTCGAATGACAGACATCAGAGAAAATGGTAGCAGAATGGCATGTGTTCATTTTTTGGGGTCCCTCTGTATATATGCATATACAGGCCTTCTAGGGTCGCCCTGTGGCCCCTGTGAGCAGGATGTTTAAATGTAGGATCTGAGTTTCTGACAAAGGTGGTTATGAAGAGCACTGTCTTCTGTGATATAATGCCATGTAGTCCACTGAGAGTCAACTGACGTTTTGGAGGAATATGAATTTGTCACTGACCATGCAACACCCTATATTCGCTACAGTTGGCACCGACAACTGGCAGTCACTTGGTTGGTATAGTTCGCTTGCCGTCTATAGGCCACGGTGTTTATCTCCTGATAGATTCATCTTGTCAGCATAGACTGGCTCCTGATGTGTCCCATTGAATTGTCTCACTTGTTTTTCCTGGACCTTCCCAATGGCATATTCTGAAGTAAAGTTGAAAAGCAGTGGTGATAAAGCATCTCCTTATTTCAGATCATTCTGGGTCAGAAAATTATCAAATATTTACCTATACAGACTTTACCATACATTTCATTTAAATACATTCTAATCAGCCTAACTAGTTTCATGGGTACTCCTAACTCCATGAGCATATTGCACAATACTTCCCTTCTAACTGAATCATAGGCTTTCTGCAAGTCTATGAATAGCTGATGTACTGTCTCATTGTACTCCAATTTTTTCTCCCATATCTGATGAATGCAAAAATCTGATCATTAGTTGATCTGTTACATCAAAATCCACACTGATAATCCCCAATAATTTCATCTATATATGGACTTAACCTTGAGGGATGATATTGAATAAAATTTGGTATAAAGTTGATAACAGTGATATCCCCCGATAATTACTACAGTCAATTTTATCACCCTTCTTGTAAATTGGTTTAATAATAGACTCTCCCATTTTCTGATTCTTTTACATGGACTGTCACTCAGCACAATCACTAATGAACTGACATGAGCATTGTGGTCTAGATAATGGGTCTGGTCAAGTGGGATTTGTGGTGGACAAAGTGGCGCTGGGGCAGGTTTTCCTCCGAGTACTTCAGTTTCCCGTGCCAATCTTCATTCCACCAATTGCTCCACAATCATCCTCACCTATCATCTGGGGCTGGTACAATAGGCCAGAAGTGGCCGCAGTACAAGGGACTTAGTCCCACCCCACTAGCAATAAAAAAATAGACACAAAATCATTGAGCTGATACTATAATCCTGTCACTGCTGATAAGTAAGGAAATAAGGAAAACAGCAAGAAATGAAGAAGGCTGATATACACAAACAATAAAGCCTGGTGATGTTGAATTTTTATTCATCTTCAACATTACATAAATGTCCAATAAGGACTCTGCAATTTACTCTATAATAGATGAAATAATCTATTCCTTCACTGACCACATTTCTTTTTTTCTACTGTGACACCCAGTGACACAATGATTTCCCTTCCAAACCTAGCGTTACTTCAAGTTTGTAGTTTCTATAGCTGTCATCTAAACTTGCATACAAGTTGGCACAATTTTTCATAAGCACTTTTCTAAATAAAACACTTGTTCAGGAAATACTGAGCTTGAAGCAAAATTTCTGAAAGGAGTTTAGCTCATTGGAAGTGTAATGATATCCGTTATATGACATTTGAAGCTCATATTGTGATCTTTTTTGTTCAAAGTTTATGCTATCTTGCAGGGGGAAAACACTTTTGATGGACTTGTTGCCTCCTTATTCAAGGTTGAACCTGAAGATGAAGGCAGTATTTTCCTCCAAAACATTTATATCCTGGGTCAAGCTTGAAAATGGAACTAACAGATGGCTCCAAAATGTTAAGCTTAATAATGCTATTTACAATTGTGGAGGATTTCCGAACTTAGATTCTTATTTGAATCTGGCTACTTCATACTGACTTGTATCCTGGTTAAGCACGAAACTAAGTGACCGTTCCTAACTAACATTGCACTGTGACCTTTCTATAACGCAGTCTATGGGTTCAATATGAGGCGACATTATAACTAGATTGGTTTAAATATGCCTAGTCATTATCTAAATTTTGTATTTAAGGCAAATTAACAAATTTCCCCCCATAACAGACTATATTGTAGTAGGTCCACTTGTAAGATTCAAGATTCTTCTCAGGCTCCCCTCCTCACAGTTACATATTGCATAAAACTTGAAAATTAAATAGAGAGTGGTCTACTGCTATTTACTAGCAGAGAAACTGAACAAATTGTACTTAAAATGTGTGCTTCATTAAAAGTAATATCACATTATATAATTCTTTTCTCACTAAGCTAAACCAGTGAAGTGACAAACTATGGAGATAAGTGGTTTGATTCCTAAATGAATTTTTCTTTTCACCACTTCATGTGTCCACTCAACATCCTATCCAATAGGCTGATGTCAGGGGCTCTTTCCCTAAGGGTAGAGAAGGTGACCATTCTGGCATCCAGGTTAATAATGCATGGAACTTGAATTACACTTCTCTCATATATCACAATGGCATGGTAGTTGAGCACAGTACAGTACAGTTCTTTATTTACAATATAACTTACATCTTCTTGTGTATCACGTTATAGTCAACACTCAGATATATTGCTCTGAGCATTAGCAACATCAATATTTAATAACACTCTGAAAATTTTATAATGTTACAAAAAAGTACTTAGGGTCTATTTTGTATTATAAAATTAGCTACCTGAAGTGATTATATTAAAACAATATTACAGAAGATCATCTACAAGATACAATACATCGATTTTGAAGGTGATCTGTGTCACAGATATAGTCAATGAAATGCAAAATGTAAGGGCACACACCACTATATTATTCACAGTAAAGGGAGATGATGCCCATTTTAACTTTTTCCAGAATTTTAAATTAATTATTTCATATAGTTTTGATTTAAATAGCAAAGCTAATCAGGTATGAAATCATTTTAATCAAACAAAACAGGAGAAGGTATTTATTTACATATTTTGTGATGTTTTCAGTACTACAAACTATATAGTATTGAATGGTGGAATGATTAACATATTGAAAAGGCTGTGGAAGGAACCACTTGTTGCCTAATTTGATGTGGAATCATAGTATTTGCAGGGAATTGAGAAAAACAATGGAAAAATCTCAGGAGATCAAGTTTAAAAGCTGACAATTTAACTTAAGAAACTCCAAAATATTAAGCGGGGGTGCTGATTAGTCAACCATCATGTTTGGTGGACGAAGGTATGATACACTTATAAGGGAGATTAAAAGCTTGGTTTTTCTTCAGCTTTGAGACCCATTGATCCCATAAATGCCAACACTTAAGTCACTATTGGGCTACGCCGTAGGTCAAGTGGTTAGTCGCTGGCTTCCCACCTCATTGGACTGGGTTCGATCCCGGGGTCTGGTCAAGTGGGATTTGTGGTGGACAAAGTGGAGCTGGAGCAGGTTTTCTCCAAGTACTTCTGTTTCCCCTGCCAATCTTCATTCCACCAATTGCTCCACAATCACCCTCACCTATCATCTGGGGCTGGTACAATAGGCCAGAAGTGGGGACTTAGTCCCACCCCACTAGCAATAAAAAAAAGTCATTATTTAAAATTAAAGTTCCAACTTCAAAGAAAATATTCTCTACCTTATAAGATTAGTTGATTAATTATGTTCAGGATAAGAACTAGCGTTACTCCAAAAACAATAATTTTCAACATATTTCAGTTCTATTGCGGGGTAAGTGCAAATTGAAACATGTAACACCCCATCCCCACCTTCTGCTACTGATTTGGTTTATTTTAACATAATTTATGAAGCATCTGATAATACAAAAAATTAAACTCCAAAGATTAAAAACACAGAATATTATTGTTAATGCTGCTTGCGGCATAATATTTACCATTGAAAATATCATTACTGGACAGATCTAAAATAAGCATGAAAATGGACTGAGGTATGTGAGTCAATAGAGTAGCTGGTTATGGATTGGGAAGATTCAGTTCCAGTGGAAAGAGAATCATTTCATTTAAACACATCCAGACCATATCTAGAGCCCTGCCAGCCTCCTATTCAGTTGGCACCAGGGGCTCTGCCCATGTGGGTAAAGCTCCCAGATCATGAAGCTGACCACTCACCTCTAACTAGCTCTGAGATGCTCAGAGAGAGAGGAATTATTCTGTGTGTGTGCGTGCGTGCATGCGCACATGAAGATGACCAATAAGATTATACAGTTTGGAAGTGATACTCTAAATAGGCCCTAAGAACTTCCATCTTGGTTATGTAAAGTTACTGTAAAATTCACTTAACTTTCTGTCAGAGACATTCAAAATACGTGTATGAGAGACATAATGACATTGCTTTACAATACCTTGCTCACGCAAGCAGAAATGTTTCCCTACAAACCTAACAGTGGACATGACCCAGCAGTTCGTCAAACATAATTGCCTGGAAGTGCGGCAGGACTTTCCTGAAAAGTTATGGTTGGAGCTGAGCGGTGGCTGCGCCCACAATTGTTGGCAATATTGCGGCCATAGGACGGAATACGAGGCATACTGGAACTGGCAGTAAGGCATGGGAATACGTCCTGTAAAAAATTAAACATACTCTTGAAATAATTAAAAAAAGCATTGTCAGTCATCATCATCATCATCATCTTCATTACATTAAGGTTTAAAATGTGTATTTAGTTTTTAAACACTACTTAAGTGAACTACAAACTACAGTGGGTAAAAATCCAGGTTCATATTTGAGAGATCCTGGATT